AAAAAAAGTTGAGCTAGGTGTGAAGAATGTATGGTATTGACATCTGAGCCTAGCAATATTTCCGGTTGATGAAATAATCCTTCTCTATATCAAAATAAATAGTTTTTAAATGACTTTTTATAGAAAGATGATACAATGGTATGATTTAATTTAAACTTATGATATTACCTTGTATACTATACTTTTATTTTATTATTTGTAATTAATTAAGACACAGACAGGATCCAGTTTCCAGAGAGCAGGCAAGGCCCAGAACCTGAGGTCCTTTCTAGAAACCTGCTCTTAGGGAAAGGGCTGCCTTCCTGGGCCCAGGGCCTCCAGGTACCTGAATCCCTCACTGTTCTTGGCCTAGGAAGCAAGCTCTTGACTCTTGGAATATGACAAGCCAAATTAGCCAAATGTGTAGGTGGGGTGATCAACAGTCAAGCCAAAAGTCTGGAAGGAAAAGCTGAGAAGAGATTTATTATGAGGAGCAAATACTTTATATCCCAAGAACAGGATGTTTGCTCAGAAAGTACTAGGGAAGCCCCTGAAATTTTACCTCTCCCTGATCCTTTAAAGTTTTATTTATTTGTTTTCACTTTGTCTGAAAGGCAGAGAGAGAGAGAGACAGACAGACAGACAGACAGACAGAGAGGTCCATCTTTCATCTGCTGGTTCACTCTCCAAATGCCCACAAGAGCCAAAGATGTGCCAAGCCAAATCCAGGAACCTGGAACTCAATTCTGGTCTCCCATAGGGGTGACAGGAACCCAAGTACTTGAGGCATTATCTGCTGCCTCCCAGGGTGTACCTTAGCTGGAAGCTGGATTGGAAGTAGCCAGAATTCAAACCAAGCATTCAGAAATAGAGTGAGAATTTCCCAAGCAGCATCTTTTAACCACTATGCAAAAACCTCACCCTTGATCTTTATGTTCAGTGCAAGGAGAACATGAACACCTAGGAAACATTGTAAACGGACTAGCTAAGTATTGAAGGGTTGCATCAACACAGAACCAGTCTGTAAAGATTATTTTCCCCCAGATGTTTTCAGAAATCTCTGTTAAATCACTAGCTAACTGCTAAGCTAGTAGAACAGAAACTTGAGTGTCCACACATGACAAAGAACACAGTCTTTCCAAAAATAGCTTATATAAATGTCACAAAGCAAAAGCTACAACCCATAAGCAGCAATAAAAAAGCCTAGGAGTGAGAACAATAAAGTGCCACGTGATGTTCAAATTGACCAGTTTTCAATGTAAAATTATGACATATGTATAGAAAATATGGCCCACTCAGAAAAAAAGAGAAATGAACAGAAACTATCTCAGGAGGCACACACATTGAACTTACTGGAAAAAGACTTGAACTCAACTATTTAAAACGTGTTCAGGAGCCAGTATTGTGGGTGTTGTGGTGTAGTAGATTAAAGCTGTCCCTTGGGGTGTCTGCATCCCATATCAGGGAGTGCCTGGTTCAAGTCCTGGCTACTTCCTGCTAATATGCTTGGGAGGCAGTGCATCAGGTTGGGCAAAACATTTTTTTATTCAACAGCAGTGTGGATGTTTATAACATCATTTGTGGGTCATGCAAAATTACCAACTTATAAATTAACCAGTTATAGATTTGTTGAACTTTGAGTTCTGCCTGCAGTTAAACGGCCCATAGACTGGACATTCCTCTCCCCTCTTGAATGGATGGTGGCTCATGTACTTGGGTTCCTGCAATGCATGTGGGAGACCCAGATGGAGCTCTGGGCTCCTGGCACAGCCTTGGATGTTTCAGGAATTTGGGAAGTGAACCAGCATATGAAAGATCTCTCTCTCTCTCTCTCTCTCTCTCTCTCTGTCTGTCTCTCTCTCTCTTTGCTGTTCAACTAAAGAAATAACATGTCCCTGGTAGTCTAGTGGCTTTCAACTAAAGTTGAAATATTCAGTGCTTTCAACTAAAGGAAACACTTTTTGCAAAAAGAAAAAAGATATGACTCTTCTCCCCCACTAAAAAAATAAAATAAAAATATGTTCAGGGAGCTACAGAAAATCATGTACAAAAAAAGCAAAAGGAAATACAGGTGAACAATCCCTCACCAAATGGAGAATTTCAATGAAAAAAGAGGGAGAGACTGAGAGAGCAATCACAAAATAGAACCACATAGAAATTCTTAAAATGAAAAATACAGCCTTGAAAAAAATTCACTATCTGATTTTCAAATCATATTTGAACAGGAAGAAGAAATAGCAAGCATGAATTTAAAAAATTGAAGTTATCTGGGGCAGATATTTGGAACAGCAATCAAGATGCCACTTGGGATGTGTACAATCCTATCAGACTGGTTTGAGTCCCAGCTCCATTTCCAATTCCAGTTTCCAGCTAATGCACACTCTAGGAGGTAGCAGGTTATAGCTCAGGTGCTTGGGTTCCTTCTACCCATGTGGGAATCCTGGATTGAGCTTGAGCCAGATCTTTGTTTCTTGCTTACTACCATCTCTCTTGCTTCTTTTCTACTGCTTCTTGTTTCTTTTTAATCATCTCTTTTTTTTTTCTTTCTTCCTGTCTCTTGTTTCTATGTTATTGTCTCATTTCTCTTCATGTCTCTTATTTCTTTCTTACTATCTCTTGACCTTAAACAATCTGAGTTATTTTGTCACAGTTATCTTTTTAAAATTCATTCTTTCTGGTTTCTTCTTTAGTAAGTCCATTGTGGCTTTCACTTTATAATTAGTGTATTTATTTGGTTCATTTTCAAACATGTCTGATTTTTTCCCTTATTTTCCTTTTAGTAACTCTTTATTTGGAGAGTTCTTAAAAAAGATTTATTTATTTATTTGAAAGGCAGAGTTACAAAAAGAGAGGGAGAATCAGAGAGAGAGAGAGAGAGAGAGAGAGATTTACTTCTGAATGGGACTCAGATGAAGCTCCTAGCTCCTAGTTTTGGCCTGGCCCAGCCCCTGGGGAGTGAACCAGTGGATGGAGGCTCTCTCTCTTTGTAATTCTTTCAAATAAATACATCTTAAAACAAACAAAAAAAGCTGGAGACAAGAACTACAGCCAGGAATCAAACCCAGGCAGTGATATGAGCTATAGGGGTCTTAACTGCTACTCTACACATCCACTTCCTAATTACATGAATTTTTAATAGCCTAGTTTTTGCAGTTTTAGATTTACAGAAAAGTTGAGGTGAAAGTACAGAGTGTTCCTACATACCTCCTTACTGACCCTCTCACCCCTAGATTCTTCAATTATTAATAATTTGCATTAGTGTGGTTCATTTGTTATAATTGTTGAGCCAATATTATTGACTTAAGTTTGTAGTTTGCATTAGGATTCATCCTAATGAAACCGTGATGGGGCTTTGCTGTTTATGCTAGGGGTTTTGACAAATGTATAATGACATGTACCCACCATTATACTGTGATGCAGAGGAATTTCACTGACCCCTGCGCTTCACCAGGGGTCATTCCTTGACATGTCCTCCCAAACCCTAGCAACCCTGATCTTTTTACTGTATGTATCTATGGTTTTGGCATTCCCCAAATGCCATATAGCTGGAATCATACAACATGCAGTCTTTTCAGATTGCCTTTTTTTAAAACAAAGTTTTATTTATTTATTTATTTGAAAGGCAGAGTTACAGAGATAGACAAAGAGATCTTCCAAATGGATGGGCTATGTCAAAGCCAGGAACCAGAAGCTTCCTCCAGGTGTCTCTCCCATGTGGGTGGCAGGAGCCCAAGTGAAACATCTTCTGCTGTTTTTCCCAGGCAGGGAGCTGCACTGGAAGTGGAGCAGCCAGGAAACAGACTGGTGCCATATGGGATGCCTGTTGCAGGGGAACAGGCGGAGCCAGAGGTACCGGTAGTTCAGGAAGGGACCCACGCGGCAGCCCACTGCACAGATGCTGGCTGAGAGTAGGCTAAAAGTCAGGACTGGGTGTTTGGTGCAGCGGTTAAGACGCCAGTTGGGACCCCTGCATCCCATATAGAAATGTCTGTGTTCCGATGCTAGGGGAGCTGGATCAGACACTGAGCAACTGAGACAGCAACCGGCGCCTATATGGAATGCCGGCGTCACAGTCAGCGGCTTATGCAGTTTTGAATTTATTCAATATTCAAGGAATTGTCCTCAGAGCTCAGGTTGGTCTTACATCATATACACATATGTTAGTATGCTGAATGTTATAAAGAAAGCATATAGTTAGGAAAATAACTTGATGATAACCTAGAATATAGGAAAGGAAATATTTATATAAGATGGCTATATAGATTACTGGTTTGCTAATTTTTAAAAAATAAAGGCAGAGTTACAGAGAAAGAGGGAGAGATAGATAGTAAAAGGGATCTTCCATCCGCTGATTCACTTCCTAAGTGGCCGCAACGGGGCGGGGATGGGGTTGGACCAGGCCTAATCTAGGAATCCGGAACTCCATCCGGGCCTCCTACGTGGTGGGGGCAGGCCCAAGCAGCTGGGGGATCTGCCTTCCCAGGTTCCTTAGCAGGGAGCTGCGTGTGAAGCTGAGCATTGGAACAGCAGGGGGACTGGAGCCAGCAGGCGTTTTATCGCGCAGCGGGCTGCAGATTAGCAGTTTACAGTGCGGTATCAGGTATGAATCTTGGCTCTACTGCTGGCAGACTGTCTCTTGGTTTCCTCATCTGGCAAATATAGGTCTGTCTACCCTAGAGGGTACGGGATTAGATGAGATAATTGCAGCAAGGGAGTAGTGCAGTGCCGGGTATATAGTAAACTCTCAATAAACATAAACTGCTTTCATTGTTTCGTCAGGATGTGAAAGAACAGGGGATGGCACAAAAAAGCATTTTCTGAATAAAGTAAAAAGACGTCACTTTCAGGTCAGTTGGGATTGTATCGGACCCCCAGCGAAAGGTGGAGGGGATCAAATGACGTAGATCGCCTTAGCAACAGGCCCCCAAAGAAGGTGAATTTCTGTAGCCAATAGAAATCTGCACTGTGGAGGAGGTAGCCAATGGTTAACGGAAAGAGGAAGAGGGAGGACGCGCCAATTCTCTGGCTCGAGCCTCGGCCCAACAAAATGGCGGCGGCGGCGGCGGCGCTTTGTTTCCGCGGCTCCTGCAGCGGTGGCTGTGGTATCGGCCTTTGAGCTGTGGGGAGGATCCAGCACCAGCTACAGTGACTACTAAGGCTCAGGTCATTTCTATCGTAACGGTGCGGTGAGGAGCGCAGAGCGGCGCCCAGCAGTCACAGAAACGTACGCGGCTCTCAAGCGAAAACATGACCGCTGAGCCCATGAGGTAAAACGCAACCCCTTCTCACGGGCCCTAGCGGGTCGGGCCTGGGTACTTTTGGAGTCGGGTGCCTGGGAAGGTTTTCGCTGGGTAGGTTACGCCAGTGCGTTGCTCAGCAGAGACAGGTATCTTTTTCCCTGGAGGTGAGAGGGTTTCGGCTAAAGGCTCTTACCGGAGGTGGGGGTGGGGTGGGGGTGGGGGTGGGGGTGGGAGTGGGGGGGCGCGGCCTGGGGTGTTGGGCGATTCCTCCAACCGCCCCACGGCAGTGAAGCCTGGTTGGCCTCCTCTGTTTGGTTTTTGATGCCTGTGGGATTGAGACCCCCGAGATCGAGGTCGGAGGCGGTCTTTGGTATTCCGGTAATTCTTCCTAATCTTTGGGCCTAGAAACTGCGTGGGGAAGAAGCGGGGCGGGGGGGGCGGTGGAGGTTGAGAAGAGGGGGGAGGGGCGGGCAGTCGGGAGGATGTGAGATCCTGGGACGACTTAGTGGCGTTGAGATCGCTGGAGACGGGAAGTACCCGGGCTCTGCGGGATTTTATTTTTTCCCCCTGCAGTCCGTGCAGATGAGGCTTTCCTTTTTGCGGTGAGTGGGAGGCGGGGGAGTGCGGGGGGTTATCACCAGGTATTTCGATTCCATCTCTACTCCGGATTGTGAAGGGTAGTCTTGGATTTATTTTCGGCGAGGGTTTACTAACTCTCAGGGTTTTGCTTCCCGAGGGACCCGGGTAGAGTACTTTTTGTTAAGTCTAGCTTTCGTGGGACCTCAAATGTTACCCCACTTTCTGGATTTCCACTAGAAGCAATGAGACCCTGCATTTATTTATTCCATGAAGGATAGGGAGGGAGTAGGTTAACGTGACTTGATGCGAAGTAAGATTTATTGCGAGGGTAGCTGTGCCTGGCAGGCCGCCTTTACCAATTAAGCACGTTTATTTGGTTGTGTTTTTCCCGTGTGTTTTTGATTTACCTCTTGACAGCGTCTGAAAATTTGGGTAGTTAATAGGAAATGTATAGCACTTTCACGCAGGTGGCCGGTTTGGTTTCAGGAAGTTTGACATTTTGATTTTTCATCCCACGACTTGAATTAACTAATTTTTCTACTCTGAAATGCATCCTTGGCGCCCAGTGGCAACATAAAATCACAGGGAGCATGTTATCAGAATTGCATTTACAGTTGGCAGGATATGCCTTTGAATAGCTATTAGGATAGTATAGATTTTGAGGAGTGTAGCTAGAGGATGAGCCTATGATACTTATTATGCCTCTTTTTCTGTTTTAATAAGCAGCAGATAGATGCTGTATTCTTTACCTTGGGGAAAAATGTGCTTTAGTTCTTAGTTTATAGATTTCTGGTTGTTTAAAGATTGTGGCCTTGATTTCTGAATTGTATTAATTGGCTCAAGTACAACATATCTTTATGGGTTTTGGGCTTGCAAGAGGTACACAGTACAACTTGTTGGCTGGTATTATCAGGCACTCATGTTCATATTCATGAATGGTGTATCTGATAGTTAAATGTGATGTCTAGATTTATAAGTCTCACAGGGGCTACCCTTAAAATCATAGGTTAAAGTTGGATTTTTCTTCCTTTCCTTAGGGAGTATAGAATTTTTTAATACAATAATTCATTTTATACCAGGATCAGTTTTTCACTGGCCTTGAATTTTTATAAATCTTGGTGGAAAGAGTAATGATGATAATTAAAAGTTGAGTTTTTATTTCTGTCCTTTATCTGTGTAGTCTTGATTAGTTCTAAACTGCCCTATGGGGTATGTTTGTATTTTCCTCCCCACTTGTAAAATAAGGAAAACTATGAGGCAGGGAAGTCAATGAACTTGACCAAAGTTATACAGCTTGTAATTAATTGGTGGAGCTGGAACTCTACAGCTTATGTTTTTAACCCTGAGGCATTAATGCCTCATTGAGTTGCCAGGTCTAACCTGATTGTGACCATTTTAATTGAGTTCAAACATTACAATGGGAGAAGTTTGAGTGGTTCTGGGATTTTGTAGCTATTTATAAACTACTATGTAGTGATAACAGAAATGCTTAATTCCAGGAAATAAATATATATAGATTTAGGGAATTAATTAAAAAGTGTGAGACCCCTGTTTGTTTACTGTGAAAGCGCTCCAGGTGGGTGGTAAGAAGAACTGTCTCAGGCTGAAGCATCATTTGTCTCCCAACCCATAATCATAGTTAAAGGAGATTCTGACAGGTAATGTTTGAGTTGAACCTACAGTGCTACATCATGCTTAATTCTCTTTTTCATATAAAAAATGTTCTAGGATTCTGTGGTTGAAAAATAGTCAAAAGGCAAGAAAGAAGAAAGTAAACCAATGACCTGGCTAAGTCATACATAGACTAATCAGTGGCTCAGTCGTCAAAGGTTTTTGTTGTTTTCAAAAGTTTTTTTTTTTATTTTTTGTGGTCGTTGTTGATTGGTTGTTTTGTTCTAAAAAAAGGGTGGCATGTTTCTTCAAGTTTTGACTTTATGAAGCATGAGCATCTGATTGCCTGAGAAACTGTTTTCAGGTCTTGGTACAGGGAGATTAAATGGAATTTATGATTCTAATCCTTATGGCAACTGATTACTTGAAAGCTGTATAACATGATGGTAGTCTTAAATTTAAAAAGACAGACGTTGTTTAAATTGAGAGATGTTGAATATATTAGGAAGTGTCTGTTAAGGTGGTAGTTAACAAGCAGTTGCATAGTAACCTACTTTTTGAAATATGTTATTTGTGAAATATTTGCATCTCTACTATATGAACAGCATTTAGCCAGGCCTGTGGAGGGGGAGGTGAGGTAAATGTTATTAAGTTTTTAAAGCATTTAAATACCAATTGTTTGATTATGTAATGGGTTAGGGTGACATTTGTGACTAATTTTTACCTAATTTTATTTATCTGGGAGGCAGAGAGAAACAGCAAGAATGTGAGTGTATATTCCCCCATCCAGTGGTTCATTCTCCCAATGCTGGCAATAGCCAGGCCAGGCTGAAACTGGGAACCAAATCCAAGTTTTCCCATATGGGTAAGCAGGGCTGCCTCCCAGGGTGTGCATTAGCAGGAAGCTGGAATTGGGAATGAATTCAGGACTGGAACTCAGGTACTCCTGGGTGGGAAGTGGGTGTGTCAGGAGATGTCTTAACCCCTAGGCCAAACACCTGCCTCTGTGACATTAATTTTGATCAGGCCAGTTCTTACTATTTGCAACCCTTGATATAGCTGGCATGGCTTTCAGTTACATATTGCACTTTTAGAGGTAAGATAGATGGAGTGCTTAAAAAAATTTCATATTTATATGGATTACAGGTGTGTGAAATAGTATTTTCTAAGAAATTGTATATGTATGTATTTCACTTTTTAAAAATGATTTATTTACTTGAAAGGCAGCAACAGAGAGAGGGAGAGACAGATGTTTCATCCACTGCTTCACTTCCCAAATGACCACCATGACTAGAGCTGGGCCAGGTTGAAAAACAGGAGCCAGGAACTCCATCAGGGTCTCCCACAGCGGGTGGCAGGGGCCCAAGTATTTGGGCCATCTTTTGTTGCCTTCCCAGGCACCTTAGCTAGGAGCTGAATTGGAAGAGCTGTAGCACTCTGATATGGGATGCCAGCGTCTCCTGTGGTGGCTTAACCTGCACAACAATGGCCTCCCACTTTTGGAGTGTAAATGACTGAGTCACTGGATACAGGCAATCCTTCAATTGGATACTTTCTCCCAGACCCTGTTTTCTAGGACATTTTTAAAGTGGTTTAAACCAGTGAAAAAGATGCATAGATTTTCATTTGGGAATGTTGAATATAGCAGGATAGTAAAAGAAATGTCTTTCTGTACCTGTATCTAATGTTTGTTTTATCAGCTTGAGCTGACATGTGTTAACTTTCATTTCTCCATCTGTAAAATGGGAGTTAGTTTAACAGCTGTTGATAAAGCCTGTAGGTATTCTGGGGAGGTAAAATGCTTATAACAGTGGTTTTTAAAAGATAGTATGATTAAGTTCTTTGGGGTCCTCATTAGTTTTTAACAATATGAGAGGTTCTAAGACTAAAGAATTTGAGAACTGCTGAACTAAAAGGAATGAACACTAAGTTGTGAGCCAAACCTGGGATTTCTAGTTACAGCTCTGTTGCATAACTGATTGTACATATTATCTTGGACAAATAATTTATCCTTTCCTGGCCTCTGCTTTGTTATTTGCAGATGAACTTGTACTAGATGTTCTATAAAGTTATTTTTTTTTAAGACACATAAAAAAATTAGCTGAAAGAGAGAAAGAGCTTCTGTCCAGGGGTTTGCTTCTCAAATAACCACATCAGCCAGGGTAGGGCTAGGCCAAAGCCAGGAGCTGAGAACTTAATCCTGGTCTCCCACATGGGTGACAGGGACCCAGTCACCTGAACTGTGACCTGCTGCCACCCAAGGTGGGCTTCGGTAGAAAGCTGGATCAGAAGGATCAGAAGGAAAGCCAGGACTTGAACCCAGGGTCTCTTAAATGGGATACAGGTATCCAAGGTGTGGCGTTAACCACTGTGCCAAACTTTTTTTTTTTTTTAATTTTGACAGGTAGAGTCATAGAGAGAGAGAGAGAGAAAGGTCTTCCTTCCGTTGGTTCACTCCCCAAATGGCCGCTACGGCTGGCGCTGCGCCAATCCGAAGCCAGGAGCCAGGTGCTTCTTCCTGGTCTCCTATGTGGATGCAGGAGCCCAAACACTTGGGCCATCCTCCACTGTCCTCCTGGGCCACAGCAAAGAGCTGGACTGGAAGAGGAGCAACCAGGACTAGAACCTGGCGCCCATATGGGATGCTGGCGCTGCAGGTGGAGGATTAACCAAGTGAGCCATGGCGCTGGCTCTGTGTCAAATATTTTTCACTTCTACGAAGTAATTTTTAAAAAATAATTGTACTTATCTGAGTGTTTAATTTTTTGTTATAGTTTCGGGGGCTTGGGAGAAGGGTAATTATGAGGGAAAGTTTCCTTTTTTAACATTTATTTTCATTTTATTTGAAAGAGGGAGTGTCTTTCATTCACTGGTTCTATACCTAAATGCCTGCAACAGCCACGGTTGAGCCAGGCTGAAGCCAGGAGCCTGGAACTCTATTTAGATCTTCCATGTGGATGGCAGAGACACACAAGTACTTGAGCCACTATCTGCTGCCTCCAAGGATGTACATTAGTAAGCAGCTGAATCAAAAGCAGAGGAGCTGGGAGTCAAACCAGACACTCTGGCAGTGGTATGTGGGCATACCAAGTGGTGACTTAATTAGTATACCAAAAGCCCACCCCTTATTATTTTTTATTTATTTCAGAGGCAGGAGAACTTTTTCTGGTTTACTCCCCAAATGCCTACAATGGCTAAGGCTAGACTGGTATTGAAGCTGGATACTCAATCCAGCTTTCCCCTGCATGGGTGGAAGGAACTCAGTTTCTTCAGTTATCACCATTGTCTCCCAGAGTTTGCATTAGTGGGATGCTTGACGTAAGAGCCAGAGCCAGGAGTGCAGCTTGGGCACTCTGATATAGAACCTGGGTGTCTTTAACAGCTATGCCAGATGCTTGCCCCAGGAAAGTTTCTTTATTGAATGTATGAACATCTTTTATTTACTATAAACTTATTTGGTTAGAGTGCAGATGTTTGTTGCTAATGTCATGATATCCTGAACAAATACTTGTGCAAACATTTATGGAGAAGTAAAAATATTTTTGCTGGATATCTAAAATTATCGTGGCTCCGGATATGTTCTGTTTTGAAAGATTACTATGTCTAGTGTATTTCTTTTATGACTATTGATGATACTTTTTACTTATTTATTTAAAGATTTATTTTATTTATTTGAAAGAGTTACAGGGAGAGGTAGAGACAGAGACAGAGGTCTTCTATCTGCTGGTTCACTCCCCAGATGGCCGCAATGGCCGGAGCTCGCCCATCTGAAGCCAGGAGCTTCTTACGGGTCTCCCATGCGGGTCCAGGGGCCCAAGGACTTGGACCATCTCCTACTGCTCTCCCAGGCCATAGCAGAGAGCTGGATTGGAAGTGGAGCAGCCAGGACTCAAACTGGCACCCATATGGGATGCCGACACTGCAAGCTGTGGCTTTACTTGCTACGCCACAGTGCCAGCCCTGCTAATTGCTCTTTTTCTTCTGGGAAAAGATTGTTTCAATTTTGCATGGTAGCCACTATTTTCAGATTCTGTCTTTGAGACTTTTGATGGTTTGAAGTAGCCATTCCTAGTGTCCAGCTCACTTATTAACTGTTCCACATGATATTTGCTTTAAAAATTATTGGTATAGAAAAAGTGTCTACAGGTGTATATCCTACCTTCTGTATTTTGGGGGAATGTTTTGTTAGTTTATCCAGTACTAGTGATCAAGTACGGGCAAGGCACTGCACTGAGCTAGGTTATGCAAAGGATAATAAAACAGAATTCTTGCCTCTTTAAGACTTTCTTAGCAGTGCTGATATGGAAATATGTTGGTTTGTACTAGGGGTCAGGAATGAAGGAAAGCTTAATTTTGAGGATTTATAGGACAGTTTCACAGAGGAGATGGTATTTGTACTTAGTCTTGAATAAATTAGCAGTTAAAGGTTGGCGTGAGAGGTAGATCAGCATTTGGGCCATCGTCCACTGCCTTCCCAGTCCACAGCAGAGAGCTGGACTGGAAGAGGAGTAGCTGGGACTAGGGATCAGGTCAGTGGGATTAGTATGGATAAAGATTAGTTTTATGGGGGTGAGCGTTTGGTGCAGATTAGGATGCTACTATGGACACCTGCATCCCATATCAGAGTGCCTGAGTTTGAGTCCTGGCTTTGCTTCCTGCTAATTTGTACTGTGGGAGGTAGCAGGTGGTGGATGACTCAAGTGGTTGGGTTCCTGCCACTCTTACAGGAGACCTGTATGGAGTTCTTGTCTCCTCACTTCAGCCTAGTTTAACCTTGATTGTTGTAGGCATTTAGTGAGTTAACCAGCAGGTTGAAGATCTCTGTTCTCCTGCCTCTGTGGCTTTCAAATAAATAAAAATAGATTTTGAAAGTTTTTAAAGAGATTAGTCTTATTTTCTACATAGCAAAGGAAAGAAGATATGAACAAATAGTTTTGGAGCAGGCTATAAAGTAGTAACTGTTGCCTGAGATAAAAAAATAAGTTGATGTGGGAGTTCAGAGCAGAAAGACGTTTTGTTTTACTTTACTTGAGAGTGATAGATCTAGCTCCCATCCACTGGTTCATTCTCCACATTCCTGTAATGGCTGGAGGCTGGGCCAGGAGCCAATGCCTGGAGCCAGGACCTCAATCCAGGTCTCCCACATGGATGACAGGGATACAACTAGAACCATCACCACTTCCTCCCGTGGTCCACATTAGCAGGAAGCTGGAATCAGGAGCTCCAGCCTAGAATTGAATCTTATATATTCTGATATGGGATGTAGGCATCCTAACTGGTGTCATAACCTCTAGGCCAAACACCCACACCAGAAAGCTATTTATAATGGGGACTAAGGAAGATTTATAGAGAGATAGCATTTGAATCTGACCCTTGGGAGATGGATATAATTTTGACAAAGAAGACTACAGTAGAATTCCAGTTGTGTGGAATACCAGCTTGCAGAAAGGAATGTTGTGTATGTTAACGTTTTCTATTTGGAAGAAGGTCAATTTAGAATTTTTAAATTAACTCTTGGACACATATTATATAACTATTCATGCATTTTTAAGATTTATTTATTTGAAAGGCAGAGAGTTATAGAGAGGTAGAGGCAGAGAGAGGGGGGGAGGGAGAGAGAGAGAGAAGGAGAAGTTTTCTATCTGCTGGTTTATTCCCCAAATGGCCAAATGGCCGGCGCTGGGCCGATCCGAAGGCAGGAGCTCCTCCAGGTCTCCCATGCGGGTGCAGGGGCCCAAGGACTTAGGCCATCTGCCACTGCTTTTCCAGGCCATAGCAGAGAGCTGGATTGGAAGTGGAGCAGCCAGGACTTGAACTGGTGCCCATATGGGATGCCAGCACTGTAGGCACTGTGGTCGGCAGCTTAACTTGCTATGCTACAGTGCCAACCCCTATCATGCATTTTTAATTTTATTTATTTATTTATTTATTTATTTTTATTTGACAGGTAGAGTTATAGACAGACAGAGAGACAGAGAGGAAGGTCTTCCTTCCGTTGGTTTACTCCCCAAATGGTCGCCACGGCTGGAGCTGTGCTGATCTGAAGCCGGGAGCCAGGTGCTTCTTCCTGGTCTCCCATGTGGGTGCAGGCGCCCAAGCACTTGGGCCATCCTCCACTGCTTTTCCTGGCCACAGCAAAGAGCTGGACTGGAAGAGAAGCAACTGGGACTAGAACCTGGTACCCATATGGGATGCTGGCGCTGCAGGTGGAGGATTAACCAAGTGAGCCACAGCACCGGCCCCAATCATGCATTTTTTATGTTAGCTTTTTTGGTTTCATGATCTTGTAAAAACTACATCTGCCGTTGTGAATGAGTCTGATTTCAATTCAGAACTGTCAAAAGTATTATGTACTTAAAGATTGTGTCAAATTGTATGCAGGTTTTGAATGAGGCATCAAAATCTATCCTTAGTTGTCTTTATTTTGTATATTTGAGATGGTCAGTTAACTTGGATAACATTTGACTTATAAAAATCCAAATTAAAAAATATTTGTTAGTAATACTGGATTATTTTGCTTATTTGGATTTTATTATTTTTGATTTATTTAATAACATTATGAAGTTAGTGCTTTTACAGTACTTGTTTTGAAAAATGTGCAAGATTGATTTATTAGGGAGCAGTTTTGGCACAAAGCCTGCTTATGAGGGATTTCCTCTGTAGCATCAGGGGTCAGCAAACTATGGCCTACCAACGAGAGGCCTTTTTTGTAATTAAAGTTCTGTTGGAACATACGCAATGCCTGTTTATATTGACTGTGGCTGCTTTTGCAACACAATCCATTTTATATCAGAGACCTGTGGCCCATAAAGCCCAAAATATTTACTGACTCTTTATAGAAAGAGGTGCGTTGAATACAGGAAACTGCACCCTGCTGAACAGAGCTGCATAGAAATATGTGCACACACCTCAAACATCTACCAGCTTCACCACTTGTGTTATAAGCAAGTCATACCCATCTACATCTGTTGTTAAAATTTTCCGTCTGATTTCAGATAACCTTTTTTTCACCACTTCATAATAATTCACAAGCTGCAACCCTTCTGGCGTCCTCTTCCACATGTAAACTTCATCTTTTTCAAGGTAAAGCACCATATTTATGCATTTCTTTTTTTAAATGTTTATTTTCATCTAGAGAGAGAGAGGGTGGAAGAGAGATATCTTCCTTTACTGGTTCAGTCTTCCAAATGACTGTAGCAGCCAGGGCTGGGCCAAGCTGAAGCCTGGAGCCAGGAACTTGATCTGGGTCTCCCACATGGGTGGTAGGAATCCAAGTTCTTGAGCCATCATGTGCTGCCTTTTTGGCTTGTTAGCAGGAAGCGGGAACAAAAGCGGAGTAGCGGGGATTTGAACTGGTGCATCCTAAGTGGCGGCTTTACCCTTTGTCCTACACCACCTGCCCCAGGAATTGTTTTAAGTACTATGTTGATGAGCAAGACAGATGAGGGCACTGCCCCTTGGAGCTTGTATCATAACTTTAACAACTTGTATTATACAATTAGACATCTTGGGTAATTACTCAGTTTTTTCTCTCCTCAAAAAATCATTCTAGTGTTATTTGTTTTTTAAATTAATTTTTAAAAATGTTATTTATGAGAGAAAGAATGATAGTGTGAGAATGAGCATGCACATGTGTCCATGTGCAAGAGAGCACTTTCCCCATCCTCTGGCTTCCTCTTTCAAATGCCCACCATGACTGGGTGTGGGGGGTGTGTTGAACCTGGAGCTAGGAACTCAGTCCAGGTCTTCCTTGTCGGTGGCAGGGACATAATTATTTGAGTCATCACTGGTACCTTCCATCATTTCCATTGATGGAAAGCTGGAATCAAGAGTTAGGTATTGGGTAAAGCTGCTACCTGTAGTGCCGGTATCCCTTATGGGCGCTGGTTTGAGACCCAGCTACTTTCCTATCCAGCTCTCTGCTATGGCTTGGGAAAGTAATAGAAGATGGTCCAGGTGCTTAGACCCCTGCACCCACGTGAGAGACTGGAAAAAGCTCCTTGCTCCGGATCAGCTCCGCGTCAGCCATTGCAGCCATCTGGGGAGCGAACCAGCGGATGGAAGAACTCTTTCTGCCTTTGCCTCTCTGTAGCTGTCTTTGAGATAAATAAATAAATCTTTAGAAAAAAAGAGCTAGGTATTGACCCAGGTACTCTTGTGGGATGTGGACATTCAATCCTAGTTTTAACAGTTAGACTAAACGCCCATGGCCTGTTCTAGTATTATTATTATTTTTTTAAAGATTTATTTTATTTATTTGAAAGAGTCACAGAGAGCGGTAGAGACAGAGAGGGAGGTCTTCCATCCGCTGGTTCACTGCCCAGATGGCCGCAACGGCTGGAGCTGCGTCCTGTTTTAGTATCAAGAAAAATATTTTTAAGGGGCTGTTTTTTTGCCATTTTTGAAAGAACATAGGCTGGGACTGGTGCTGTGGTGCAGTGGGTTAAAGCCCTGGCCTGAAGCGCCAGCATTCCGTATGGGCGCCAGTTCCAGTCCCCGCTGCTCCTCTTCCGATCCAGCTCTCTGCCATGGCTTGGGATAGCAGTAGAAGATGGTCTTAAGTCTTGGGCCCCTGCACCCATGTGGGAGACCTGGAAGAAGCTCCTGGCTCCTGGCTTTGGATCAGCGCAGCTCTGGCCATTGCGGCCAACTGGGGAGTGAACCAGCGGATGGAAGACCTTTCTCTATAATTTTGTCTTTCAAATAAATAAAATAAATCTTTAAAAAATAAAAATTAAAAAGAAGAAAGTACATAGGTCAGTTGATTGGTAGTTTGGTAGGAATGTGTGAGCACTTCAAAAATCTGTGGAAGAATGGAGTCAAATGCGTGAGTTTAGTATATGGAAAATGTTGTGAATACAGGTTATGAATAGATTTCAAAATTGTTTTTGTGCAAAAGAAATTCACACTTTTTATTTTTCAAAAATGTATGTTCTTTTTTTTAAAGATTTATTTATTTATTTGAAAGTTACACAGAGAGAGGAGAGGCACAGAGAGAGAGAGAGAGAGAGAGAGAGAGGTCTTCCATCCA